CTGCCCCGCTCGCCCCCGCCCGATTCACACACCTTGGCTGCACCCTCCCAGATAAGAGTGGGGAGGTGGGGTGCACAGAGGCAGATGTGTGGGGCCCTCCCTCCCTGCACTCTCACCACACAGGCACACCCATGCACACATACCTGAGGCACAAGTACACACTGCACACACGTTCCTCACACATTTGCACACGTGGCCACACACACACACACAGGCTTGCATGTGTGCACATACATACAAGTGCCTTGGGGTGGTTAGCCTGCTCTGCCTCATCCCTCAGAAGGCCCACACATGTGCACATGTGTGGTACATGAACTAAGGCAAGTGTTCTGAGCGCATCCACCCTCCTCAGTGGGAGGCCTGCTGGTAAACCCCCCCCCCCATCCATTTGCATGATGCCCTGGTGACCTGTAGTCTGAGGACTGATGCCTTACCCTCCCAAACCTGCCAGAGTCCCCAGCAGCAGGGTGTTCAGAGGGAGTGTCCCAAGGCCCCCAGTCCTTCCTGGGGGGAAGGCATTTACTCACGCCTGCGGCTCCCGAGCCCCTCAGCCCCTTGGCCCCCCTCCTCCGGGAAGCGCCTGGCGGCTGACAGCAGAGGAGGCGGGAAGGGTGGTGGTGGGGGCGTCATCAGCAGCGGCACCTGTGGGTGGACAGGGCTGGTCAGGCAGGGGTGAGGTCACCACTCCCCTCCATGCTGGTGGCCTTGTCTGGGGGTCATTGTTGCCCGGGCAGCCATCCCCCATCCCAGGCTCCCCAGGGAACAGTGACTGAGGGTGTTGGGCCAGGGGCCACAGCCAGCCTGCATCACAAACATGCACACGCCCTGCAGTGAGCACAAGCACGCATATGTGATCACATGTATGACACACAAACGATCCCACCAAACACGCTCGTGCACACCTACACGTGTCTGACACGCACACCGCTGCATGCTCACACATGTGTCTGACAAGTGCAGGCACATGCCCTTCCCAGATTGTCCCTGACTGTGCTGAGATGAATATCAGGAACCCAGCCACCCCCTACCCCCTGACCTCGTGGCCCATTGGTGTTTGGGGTGGATAGCAGTGGACTGGGCATGGGGCGCCCATGGCATCACCCCATTTTCAAGTGAGCCCAGGTGGGTGGACCCAGAGCCCTGATCTCCACCTAGCTGTTCTTAGAGACCGGCAGGAGTCGGCAGCCGGCTGCCTCCTGGTGTTCAGAACTCAGAGCCCTCAGGAGCGTGGATGGGACACCCCTGCGCAGCCTGAGCCCAGCAGGGCCACCCAGCCACCTCCACCTTTCACTTCTCTCCCTCAGGCAAAGCAGGTGCCCAGAGGTGCTGAGATACCCCAGAGGCGTGGTCACGGGTGCAGCCTGCCCACTTGGTGGCAGTAAGACTGCAGGGGGGCGGGGTGGTGGTGCTGCTGTTGTTCCCATTATGCATGTCCTGGCTGGGCAGGGCCAAGGTCAGCACTTGGCCTGGGACCCCCAGGCCCAGAACTCCCCAGACCAGCCCCCAGAAGGCCTCCAGGCACAGGGCCCCAGACCAGCCCCCAGGACCCAGCTCCTCCTCCCCAGCCCCAAAGCCCTTGAATGAAGGGGCCTCAGCTCCACCCCTGTCCTGGGGTGTCCTCAACTGGGGTTCACAGCAGCACCCCCTCCCTCCTACCCTGCTTCTCCAAGCAGCTCTCAGATGGGAGAAATGATGCCCAGGTGTCCCATCCCCAGGTGTCCCATGCCGCCTTTCTTTGTAAGCTTTACCGCAGAACGCGTTCAGTGACCTGACTCAGTCTCAGGGTGACACACAGTCTCCCCCTGCTCCTGTCTCTTGGAGACCTCATCAGTGTGGGCTGTGAGAGCCAGAAGGGGCTGCCAGCCTCCTGAGCTTCTCCTTGCCAGTCACTGAGGTGAGCCAGGTTATGCCAGTTGGCCAGGAGACTTTGGGTGCCCTGAGTCTGTCCCCGCCGCTTCAGCCCAATGCCCCCTCACATGTAGGACCCTGGGCCCCAGGGCCCACTCACTGGTCGCAGGGATCCCGGAGCCCAGATGGAGTGCAGAGCCGGGCTGTGGCAGCTGCCGCTGGCCCGCTGGGGAGGAGAGCGAGGCGGAGGTCGGAGCCTGCCCATGAATATTTGAAGGCTGAGGTGTCGGGTGGCCAGCGGGCTTGGGCTGGGGTAGGGGATCCCTTACAGGGCATGGGGGCCAGGGGCCACCCCAGGGGACCCCAGAACCTGGCCCACAGTGACCTTATCTCAAAGAAAGTTCACCAAGAAGTGTCCTCCCTGACCCTCAGTACAATCCTAGGCACAGATGAGGAAACTGAGGCTCAGAGAGGACAAGAGGCAGTCCAGGGCCCTGAGATAGGTCAGGAGTCTTCCTAAGTGTTGGCTGGACCTGTCCAACCTGAACCCCCTCTTTACTGGCCGTTTCTCAAGATGGTGTTTGCTGGGAGGGGTCCCCGGGAAGGAAAGCTAGCACACTGCTTGCTATAGAAGAGTGGGTCCCCTGGGGTTGGGGCTCCCTGGTTTGGACACCACTCCAAGTGCACAGCCCCCTCCAAGCCCACCCCGGGTCTTGGGATGCAAGGGGTGACCCCGATACAGGGATCATGCAGTTCTTGCTGTGCTGAGACAAAGCTCCTGGTTGGGGGCTGCCCTTTGGGCTCCACGGGTGGTCTATAGTTTGACTCTGGGCCCACCCAGTGGTGGCGGAAGAGAGGTCTGCTGACCGTCCACAAATCATGATGGTCAGGAAGGCCTGATGGAGGAGCTCCACACCCACCCACGTGGGGCGCTATGAGTTGGAATTGACTCAGTGGCAGCTGGCTTGCCCGTTGTCCGTCTGTCTTGGTTTGGTCTCCATCCCAGAAGCCCTGGCCTTCCTCAGCAGCTGAGTGGCTAATGACTCACTGGTAGCCCAAAGCTGATAGGCAGGTGGGCGGAGAAGCCAACAGGGCAGCACACAGTGCTGGGGGACAGTGGGGGGAGACTTGTCAACAGGGCCACCCACCCAAGGGGATCTGGTTGGGGCCGGTGAGAAGGAAGGGGCCCCAGGGAAGTGGGCTTGGGAAGATGGGAGTGCAGGGAGCAGAGGGGAGCAGCGGAAAATCCAAGCTGAGGGAAGTGAGGATGGTGGAGGTGGGGCCCCCCCCCAACCAGGTCAACTTCCCCAAGCCCGAGCAGACTTGTACAAGCCAGGTGTGGGTGCCCCAGGTGGCGGAGAAGCCACAGCCTACCCCATTCTCCCAGGTCGAAGACATGAGCCCAACCTAGCAAGCTCCCAGGATGGGTGGGCCCTGGCGGTGGTCCTTGGGGTGCTGGGCTGCCTGTGGGGTCTGGGCACACCCTGGAGTGGGTGGCCCCAGGGCTGTGGCTGTCTGGCCCGCTCTCTCTCTCCAGCGTTTTGGAGAGATTTGAGCAGTGAGTGTCACTGTTGTCACCATGCATTATGCATTCAGGCAGCTGCCGAGCGAGGTTACAGCGGTGATGCCACCCTGGCCAACAATCATGGCCTGGGGATCAGCGCGGCTAGGTGACCGCTGAGATTCTGCTACTGGCCAGGAGGCCAGGCTGCCCTGCCAGTGGACACAGCCCGGAGATGCCCTTGGCCTTGGGCCTCAGCTTCCCCCTCGTAAAATGAAGGCTCTGAAAGGTCACCTTGTGGTGCTCTGGGTCAGGCTGCTGACCACAAGGTCGGTGGTTCAGACACTCCTCAGGAGGAAGATAAGGCTTTCTGTTCCTGCGAAGACTTACAGTCTTGGCGGACACTCGGCAGCACACTGCTATGAGTCGGAACTGACTCCAGGATGGTGGGTTTGGGTTGGCTTAAGGGTCACCAAAGGCATCCTGGTGGCACAACAGGTTAGGCATTACACTGCTAACAGCAAGGTCAGCAGTTCAAACCTACCAGCTGCTCCAAGGGAGGAAGATGAGGCTGGCTGATCCCATAAAGATTCGCAGCCTCACCCCAGCAGATCCCTCCCTCTGGTCATGTCAAGGACAACTAGAGATGGGCATGATCCAGCCCAACCTGCCTGACAACACCCATTCCAGGGGCCATAGCCAGATAACCTATTGACTAACCACGCCCCATATGATAATGAGGTACAGAAGCCATGGGTTATGAGACCAACCATTATCCTGGAATCAGGACCAATCGGGATGCAAGAATACAGGTCAATGGGAAAGCAGGATAGGGAATGAGGTGAGTCCATGAGGTACTGCCACCGACCCCTGTAAAACCCAGGGCCACACCCCTGGAAGTGGTCAGTTTCCTCAAATCACCAGGTGACTGGCTCTGTGGTTGAAGTGTACTCTGCTAAGTAAGTGCTCCACAAAAAAAGAAGGAACGGAAAAGATTCACACTCTTGGGGACCCACAGGGGCAGTCTGCCCTGCCCTACGCGGTCGCCTTGAGTCAGAAATGACACCGGGGCGGTGGGTTTGGTGGGTGTAAGGCGCTGGAAGGAGCCTGGGCAGCGCAGTTTCCGTCCAGCCGCTGACGGGAGAGATGGAGGGCGGAACCCCCCAGGTGCATCGCAGAAGAGAGGCCCTGCTGTGTGCTTGTGTCAAGATGACAGCCAAGGGAACCATACAGGCAGTGCCACTCTGGGTCACATGGGCCCACTGTGAGCTACTGACAAGATAAAGGCAGTCGGGACCCACAGAGGGGACTGGCCTGTGCCTGGGCCACTGGCTGGGCTACGCGGTGTCCGTGCGACAGGGCTCCCCTTCCCGCAGCAGCTCACTTATGGAGGGGACGCTGGAAGCCGAGAGCTGCTCAGGACTAAGGGCAACAGAAGACCCACTTCCACCAGCCCTTCCGCCTTGGACATCCGAGCCGTCCCCGAGCCCGCCTCTGTCCCCTGCTCTGCGGTCTGGGGGCCCAGGACAGACTGGTACAGTGAGGATGAGGTGGGGTGAGCAGGACACCTGGGGACACTCCAGCTTGACTCTGGTGCCCAACAGATCCCAATTCAGAGCCGCTGCCCCGAGTCCCCAGCCTGGGCAGGCCGGTGGGGAGGGGTGCGGAGGGGTGTGGGCTGCCTCAAGCTCCTGACCCACTCCAGGTCAAAGATGCCCATCCCCTCACTGGGCACTTGGCCAGGCCAGGAAGGGAGGGGAGAGGCTGGAGGTGGGAGGCTGGGGCCCTTGAGGTGCTGCAGCTGTCCCTCAGCACCTATGCCCACAGTCCGACACATTCCCGAGCCACGTCTCCTGGGACCAAGCCCATTGGAAGTGGCTGGCCTGGCGACCTCTGATATTTCATTTCCATCAATATTGCATCAGGTGCAGCTCCCCCAGCCTGGCCTGCAGCTGACAGCTGCCCTCCCTCTCTGGGAGCTGGGGCTTGGCAGGCCTGGGGTTGGGGGCAGGAGAGCCCCAGGCTCTGGGAAGCAGTGGGCTGAATGACCCTCCTAGGGGTTCCAGGCCAGCTTGGTCACTAGCAGGGCAGCAGCCCACACCAGTGAGCAGGTGGGCACAGCACTTCCGGGCAACCAGCCAGCACCCTCTTCTCCTGGTGCTGAGACAAAAGCAGGCTTCAAGCCTTCACCTTGAATCCCAACCAGACTCATGGGAGGGCTGTCTGCAGGATGGCTGCCCAGGGAATCAGCCGAGGACGCTGCCCTGGCCCTGGAGGCCCACCAAGGGCCCCGGTCCATTGTAACGTGGCCCCAGGAACTGCCAGGACCTGAGGGTGTCAGGACCACAGCCCGAGCTCCGAGTTGAGGAGGGTGTCAGAAGTGGCTGGAGGGACCGTGGCCTGCATGAACTGAAGGCCAGGTCAGGAGCTCACACTCCTGTCCCTTCACTCCTCCATCCTTTCTCACTCATGTGCTCATTCACACATTCCTCCGCCACTCCTTCATTCACCTGTTCATCACACCCAACTATTCATCATCCATTCATTCACACACTGACCCAGGATCACTCCTTCATTCATCATTTATTCATCACACTCAAGTATTCATCATTCATTCACATACTGGCCCACCTATCATTCATTCACATGCTCACCCCTCTGTTATTCATTCACACACTCCCATCACTCATTCTTTCACACTCGCTTGCTCACCATTCAAGCTCTTGTCTGTTCATCCACTCATCTACACATTTGCCACGTCATTCATTCATTCCCTCCTTCCCAGTCCTCCCTGTTCTTCCGTCTGTTCATTCCACAAAGACATGGATGCCCAGGTCTGGCTGGGATCTGGAGCAGACTGGGGCCCCATCCTCCCTGGTGAGAACACAGACTCATCAAGATGGGGGTCCTTGGAGGTCACACCTCCAGGAGGGTGAGCAGGCCAGGCCTGCTGCCCCGGCGGAGAAGGCCTGACCAGGGCTCTGCTGGACCGAACCTGGCGCACTGGTGTGCTCACCTGCTAGGCAGACAGAGCCAGAGCCCAGAGCTGCCTCCCTCCCCTGCACCCTCAGTCAGATGTGGAGTGAGGTGCCCTGTGCTCCCAAGGTGGTCTCGGTGGCCCATAAAATGGCATTCCATGGTCAAGTCCCAGTCCAGTCTGGTCCTGGCCAGAAGCCCAACCCAGCCCCTGCCCAGCCCCAGCCCTTACCCAGCACCTGTCAGCCCAGCTCATCCCTGCCCCAGTCCTAGCCAGAGTCCAGCCGAGCCATAGCCCTGGACAGGCCCAGCCCCGGCCCCGGCCCAAGCTCTGCCCCTGCCTTCACCTGACCCCACCCCCGCTCAGCCCTTGTTCCAGCCCCAGTGCAGTCCCTGAGAGCCCAGCCTCAGGCAGGCCCAATCATCCCCAGTCCTGGCCAGGTCCAAGCAGGGCCAGCAGTGGGCCCTCCCCACGCACTCCTCACCGGCCGGGCCACGTCCCGCAGGTACTGGGCACACTCCTGATGTCCGTGGTACTCAGCCAAGTCTGCCGCCGTGTAACCGTCCTCGTCCTGGAGGGAGGGGTCTACGTGGTGGGAGACCAGGGTGTGGCAGCACTGTGGGGGACACAGGGTGACCCATGGCACGACACACATACACACACGCTTGCGCGCAGACCATCCCTGGGGGCTGGCAGACCCGATGCACAGGAGGGATATGGGTGAAGGCCAGTGGGGCTCAGGACCAGCCCACCCACTGCAGAGGCCTGCCCGGGGACCTCCAACCATACTCTAGTAACCCCTAACCCCACTCTGGTGACCCCTACACTCTGATGACCCCTAGCCCTGCTCTGGTCTATGGGTGGGGACAGTGTGGCACTCACTGCCCATGTCCAGCCAGAGCCTGGAGGGCCCCAAATGAAGGAGCACCCAGGCCCAGCTGACAGGTCAGGGGTTTCTGACTCTGTCACCCCCCACAGCCAAGTTGCTCGATAAGGAAGCAGCCTCAGGCTCAGCCTGGCCCAGGCTCCAGGAATCTGAGAGCCCTTCCGGGGACATGAGGGGTGCTCACTGAGGCACCCAGGGGCCAGGTCCTGTCCCCCTCCAGCCTCCGGCCCCACAACACCGGCCAGCCCCAGCTCCTTGCCTCTGCCCCCTGGCCACTCTTCCGCACGGGCTCTTTGGGGGTCCTGGATGGAGGAGAGGGCAGCGGGGGCAACGTGAGCTGGGAAGAACTAAGATGGTGAGAAAGAGGCTTCCAGAAACATCTCCGACAACCCTGTGCCCATTCTTTTTGAGGGGCTCAAGAGAGGGTCCTGAGGGGCTGGTCTCTCCCTGAGCCACAGGGCTCTGAGGGAGGCGCTGCCTTAGGCCAGCGGGTCCCGTCTCCCTTGGGTGTCCCGAGCGTAAGCTGGGACCCAAAGGAATTCAATGCCTGGGCCTGTGGGCCCCTTGCCTGTATAAGGTACAGTCAGAACCCCACCGCCTGCCCCCGGAGTCTGTGTGCCAGGTGAGAGGGCAGAATGGGGCCGTGGGCCAGGACCAAACCCCCCACCGGGAGTCGAGTGGTGCACACAGCGACCAGGAGGGCAGAGTGCTCCCACCCACTAGGCTCCAGCCTTGCGGAGCAGACTGCCACGGTCCCCTCGGAGCGGCTGGGGCACTCCACCACCAGCTTTTGGGGTAGCAGCTGAGCGTAAAACCCTGCACAGGCGTGAAGAGGAAGACCTGTGGGAGACGGGCTGGCACAACATGGCCCTGATGGTGAGGGTGCCGCAGCACCGGGTGGTGGTTCATTCTGCAGGACAAGGGGTCGCTGTGAGTCAGAGCAGGCCCCACGGCCCCTGACAACTATCACCGCCTGTGCAGGAGGGGGGGCTGTCCCTAAAGGGCACCTGCAGGTCTAGGTCTGGTCATGGTGGACACGTGGCATTCCACACGTATTAAAGGGCACAGGCCTGTCCACACGCAAGGGCCCCCTCATGTGAACCACGCCACCACGTGCTGGACCGCGGTAGCTTGAGCTGCTGGGACGCCAGAAGCACCAGCAGCGCGACCCACGGTGAGCGGGCTTCGGTGGAGCCTCCAGACTGAGACGGACTGGGAGGAAGGGTGAGGTGGTCACTTCTGAGAGGCCAGCCACTGAAAACCAGATGACCAGCAGCGGAGCGCTGTCTGAGACAGTGCCTGCAGGAGGACAAGCACCTCCGGCTGCAAGGCACTGCGAACAGGACGGGGAGTGCTGCCTCCCCAGAGTGGAGCTGAACTGGAGGACACCGGTGGACAAGGCTGCAGGACCTGCGTGGGGTGATGGGCAGGACTCAGAACGAGAAGCAGCGCCTGCAGACACCCTACTATGGACGTCAGTCAACAGGACGGCGTGAGTACTGGTTTCCTGGCGGTGACGGATGACCGCACACCAGAGAGTACTGGGAACCTAGGATGGTTCTGGAAAAGAAACTCCATCCAAGTGCAGAAGTGCAAGTGCAATTCCTAGTACGGCTCTCCTATCCATTGAGGGTTACACATTGCCCTGCTGACTGCAGTCGGCAGCTCAAAACCAACTGCTGCCCTGAGGGAGCCAGACGAGGCTTTCTGCTCCTGTAGAGAAGAAACCCACAGCGCCAGTCCCACCCTGTCCTCCAGGGTCGCAGAGTCGGGACCCCACTTCATGACGGTGGGTTTTTGGGGAGGTGGAGTAGGATTTAATCCAGTCCTCTGTAACTCCCACCAAATGATTGGGGAGTGGGGGGACACAAACAGGGTGTGCTTAGCAGTAACACAGAGAAGCAGGAGCTGAGAGAGAAATCCCAGGACCGTCAAGGAAGAAGAGCCGTGTGTGGGGGGCAAGTTTGAGGTCCCTGTCTGAGGTGGCGGAGGCTCGGGGACGGAGATCAGGGAGCAGAAGGCAGGCCCAGGCAGAGCAGAGGGGCTGCGGGGCTGCGCCCAAGTGGGGTGGTGAGATGGTGCAGGGGACAGGCTTCCTGGGCTCATGGAGACAGGAGCCAAGGGACCAAGTGGCTGAGAGATTGAAAACTAGAGAGAAATCTGGCTGCTGGCTGAGGAGCCCAGTTTGCTGATCCTGACTTGCGGTGACCTATTAACATCCCTAATAACCCCACCCCCCATAATCCTGAGTATTGCCTGTGAGTTCCACGTGGCCCTGCAACGGAGTCTCGAAGATAGTGGCGAGCAGCCGAGTAAGGAATGACGGATGGAGGGAGCAGGCCTCGCAGCCACCGGCCTTGGGTTCCCCTTCCTCTCTTTGTAGCCCAGGTCAGATGCGGCCCGAGCCGATTAGTCACGATCTCTCTGGTTGAGGCTGGCACACCTGTTTCAGCCCAGGGCTTGGGAATAAGAAGGGGACCTCCAGGAGACTCTGGGAGATGGACAGACACACCTTTGGGGCCATCTGGAGGCCTGTAGAGGTACCAATGGAGTCACGTGTGAGGGGGGAGCCCAGCTGGGTCTTGTGACCAGGTAGGTCTGAGTGCAAGTCCTGGACTGCCTCCCAGGCTGCTGTGGGCACACAGGGCATAGTCTGGGAGGCCCAGTGGCTAGTTCCAGCCCCGCCTCACCTCCATCTGTCCGTTCTCAGCCGCATCGTGGAGGGGGGTCCCCCCCCAGGAGTCTCTCATGATGGGGGCACCCATGAGCAGGAGTCGATCCAGAATGGGTGTATGCCCGCCCCGGGCAGCGAAGTGGAGGGCGGTGGCCCCCTCGTTGTCTCTCGCTGTCAGGCCGATGTCTGTGAACGTGACCTGGGTCGGGAAGGGGGAGTGGTCAGCACGCTGAGGTCAGGCACTGGGCTCTGCATCCTGGGGGTGCAGGGAGAGGGGGAAGAAGGTGCTCCTCCCCCACCCCCACCAGACTGCTCAGAGCTGGCCGCTGGGCTTGTCCCTCTGTGGGTGCCCTCGACTGGATGGCAGTGAGTGAGGGGTCTGTTTGCTGATGAAGGAAGGAGGGGTGAAGGCCAGAAAGGACCTTTTTGGAGCCAAGAGCAGTCCTAGCGTCTCTCTGAACTCGACCCTAGGCCTGCTGTGGCCCCAGGGGGAGACAGTGGGCGGGGCCTTGGGTGGACCAGGCCCAAAGGTGGGCGGGGCTGCGCAAGCCTGGGTGGAGCTTGAGCGAGGGGCTGGAGTCCATTCCCAAGTCCTCCTCCCTCTCTCCCTCCTTCCTTCTGTGTGCTGGGCTGGGGTCCTCCGCAGCTAGATCTCCGGACACGTATTTGGGGGCGGGGCTATAAGCTGTGTGCTGGGCAGCGGTGCCCACACGCAGGAGAGGGGATGGAGGGCAGGAGTTTGGGGAACTGCACGTCAGGCAGAGGGCACAGGCCCCGAGGTGGGAGTGAGCCGGCCTGGACCCCGGAGACGGGTCTCCAGTAGACAGATTCTCACACAGCCCCCAGAGCAGACCAAAACCCATCCCGGGCTCACACCTTCCAACGCCCCCAGCGTTTGCAGGAAGAGCAAGTGGACGCGGTTCCCAGGGCCTGGTCGGCTGACCCAGGGCCACCCGGTGTTCTCTGCAACGTCCAGCCACCTGCCATGTCTCTCCCACCTCTTAGCTGGGCCTCAGGATGGACCGAGGTCAGAATGGCCTGTCCGGGGTCCATACAGGGTGGGGACTGGCCCGGAGAGGCGGGGCGCTGAGGCCGGAACACATGGCTGAGAGGCCCAGGCCGGGTGCGTCCGGTTGGGCAGGGGTCTCTTGGTTACCCAGACTAACGAAGCTCTCTCCTGACTGTCGTGTGCCTCCCCCATCGTACCCCCAGCAACCCCGTGGCGCCCACATCTCTGTGGGCTCAGAACCCCCTCCACGCGCCCACTCACCAGCCAGACCACCAGCGAGTAGTGGCCGCGGGCGGCGGCGGCGTGCAGCGCGCTCATGCCGTCCAGGGCGCGCAGACGCACATCCGCCTCGCAGTCCTTCACCAGGAACTGCGCCAGGTGCAGGTGGCCTTCCTGGCAGGCCAGGTAGAGCGGGGAGGCGCCGCTGCGGGTCCTCCGGTTCACGCCGCTGCCGAGGGAGGCAAGCAGGGAGGGAAGGAGGTGTCCCGAGGGCGCTGGGCCGGGAGGCGCACGTGTCCCCTCTCCCTGCCCCCAGGTTGCACTGTCACCAGCCCAGAGCTCCCAGGCCTGTGAACACTGGGCCTCTGCACCAGGTGGCGCTGTTCCTGCCGCCCGGAGGGTGGACGAGCCTGTGGGCAGCAGGGGAGGAGGTAGCAGGGACAGCACCCGGTGGCAGACCCTGAACACGAGGCTGAGTGCTCCCAGCCTGGTGTCCCTCTGAGAAAGGGCCGCGGTGACCGGACCCTGGCCAGAGCCAGGCCACCCTAGAGCAGATGGACCATAGCAGGGGCTCCAGGCTTCCCTCAGCCCCACTCTGCCCTCAGCCCCTGTGGTCCCTGGTGGGCCTGCTACAGAGAGGATGGTCTTCCTGCAAGCTGGCCCCACGCCCTGGCATCACCACCCATCCCTGCCACTGAGGGGCACGTGACCTTGGATGAGCTTCCCATTTCTAGGGTACTTGTCCAGTTTTGGGACCCCCCACCCCACTCTTTCCTCCCCTCTAGGCCTCTGGGTCCTGGTTATAAACATCAATTGTCACAGACAGAACTTGATTCTAAATGGCCAGTTGTCCCTTGGAGACCAGAAGTGACCCCAGCTCCCTAAGTCTTGTCTCTGCCTCCCCCAGGTCCTCTCTGACCTGACATGAGAATCACACAAACACACACACACACACACACCCCCAGCTCCCAGAGTGCTTGGTGCTGGGCCGTGGGACAGACTGCATGTAGGGGGTGTCTCTGCCAGCTGGGGCCTGCTACCAGGCAAGCAGCTGATTCAGATACTCACCCTCCTGAGGACCCTAGTGTGGAAGGTACCTCTGGGGGTGACTTGCTCTCATGAATCCTGACTGTGGAGTCCGGGGTTCTCCTCAGAGGGCCCAAGGGTGTGTGGAGTCAGGGCTCTCAGCTGACTGAGCCCAGAGGACTTTGCCAGATTCGAGGACCTCCTTCCCTCCCTCCCTTCCCCAGGCCCTAATGGCACAGGCCCTCCCGTCCTGGGCCCCTGTCGGGTGGAAATGAACGGGGGTCTCTGTGCTCCTTGGGTGCTCCTGGCTCCAGACCACCAGGGGGCTGTTCTGCCAACACAGGGGCTGGTCCCACACCCACAGAGCTGGGTCTGCTCACTGGACACAAACAGAAGGTCCTGTCACCAGACTCTGAGGGGCCTGGACCCAAACCAGGTGGACAGGCCACGTTTACCAGTGCAAGGTGGTGGCGACCTGGCCCGTGGGCCTGGGGCTAACTTGCCCTCGCACTCGGTCCAGAGGGACAGCAGTCTCTCAGGTCCAACAAGGTGGCCACGGGGGCTCCGGGTGGCTGGCCTTCCTGTTTCCACAGAGAAGCAGGATGCACATGCTCTGTGTGGGTGATGGGCGGGGCTTCACAAGGCCCACAACCCATCATGGGGTCGTCTGCAAACTTGCTGGGCCCCCGTGTGTGCCCGTGCATGTGACTGAGGGTGTGTGAGTGTGCTAGTATGTATATGCATTAGTGTGCACAAGTGAAATGCATCTCTGGATGTGTGTAAGTAGATGTATAAAAGTGTATGTGAGTGCGTGAGTGAATTTACGTGTAAGTGAATGAATGTGTGCGTGTATCAGTGGATGACTGTATGTGTATGTATGGTGTGTGTGTATACAAGTGAATGTGCAGGTGTGTAACGGAATGAACGTATGAGCATGGGCAGTTCCCACTTTTGAACAGGTGTCAGGACTCTGACCTCCCTGGGACACTGTGGGGCGATTGTGGTTTACCCTGGCCATGGGTAGGAGGTGTCCACTAGGTGTGGGTGCAGTGAGAGGGCCTCCCCACCCCGGAGCTGGAAGAAGGGAGCGTGAGGAGGGTCACGGGTTGGGGAACCAGGGATGAGAAGCACGGGGCCTTGAGGGAGCACAGGGGTTCTGCCCTCAGCAGGAAGTAACCCTGAGAAATGGGACCCTGAGGCCGGGCCCCCACAAATGCCCGTGACCCTCGGCCAGGGCAGGAGCGAGAAGACTGAGGCCTGTTCCTGCCCTCTCTTCTCTGCATGATGGGAGCACAGGGCTCCCGACTTCCCATGGCTGCTCACCCCCACCTCCTGGCTGTTCTCTGGCCCTCCCAGCTCAAACGTCCACCTCCCCCCTACCTGGGCTTGAACCTAAGTGGGCATCAAATCCCTTCCCGGAGCGCCCTTCCCCTACTCCTGCCCACTCTCTGCTCTCAGGGACAGTGTGCTGTCCACCAGTCCCAGTCTCCCTCTCCAGTGCCCTCCCCCTTGTCCTGTGCAGACTGCCCACCTGGGGTGGGCAGCCACCAGGAGCTTCAGGCAGGTCAGGTCCCCGCTGACAGCGGCATGGTGCAGGGGCCAGGCCCCCTCCAGTGTCTCCAGCGTGGCCGAGTGACCCTCACGAAGTAGCCACTCCACCACCATGGGGTGTGCGAAGCGGGCAGCCAGGTGCAGTGGGGAGACGCCCGAGGCATCTTGGTCCTGCAGAGGCCGCAGGGGGGACTATGAGCCAGGCGGCAGGCAAGGCCAATGCCCAGCATTGACGCTGTCTCCTTATTCCCCCCACCCCTCGAGTCCAGGGCCCGGCTGGCCTAGTGGGGTGGGGATCTGCTCTAGGTAAGGGGCAGGATGAGGACTCGAACCCCGTCAGTGCTGCTGGGCTGCACCTGCCCATTCTGTCCTCTCAGCCAGCATGGCCCCACTCACCACAGGGGCCTGGGATGGGTCCCAGGAGACCAGGGGTGCTGACAGCTTCAGGCCTGGACGTCCCTAAGGGCCTGTGGTCAGAACACCCCCAAAGTGGGCACAGTTCCCACCACTGCCTTGGGAGCAGGTTGTCCTGTCAGGTGCTGGCCCACGACCCCTGAGGGTCGCCTTGGGCCTTGTCCAGGTGCCCACCCCACTCCTTCTCTGCATACCCGTTTCCAGATGCCTAATGGGAATAGAGACCCTGAACACTCACAGGCCCTGACCACCCCAGGCCCCCTGGGCAGGTGGGGTCTTGCTGGGGTGTGAGGGCGCCTGGGGGACAGCTTTGACTTTTCTGGGGTGTAGGCTGGTTTTAAGGTGCGCTGGTGGCGCAGGGGATTAAGCACTGTGCTGCTAACTGGAAGGTTAGTGGTTCAAGCCCACCAGCCCCTCTGCAGGAGCAGCGGGAGGCAGTCTGCTTAAGAGTCACAGAAGCCCCGTGGGGCAGTGCTACCCAGCCCAACAGGGTGGCTACGAGTTGGGGGTCTACTTGGTGGTTAGGTTAAATGTTACTGGGGTGGGCTTGGAGGCAAACCCAGCTGACAGACCCTCTGACTGCTGGGGGGCCCAGGGAGGAACTGGTGGTCTTGGCCTCCTGGGTCACACCCCCTGCCCCACTCACCTGCAAGCTGCAGCCTCCCTCCCGGACCAGCCAGCACAGCTCAGCCAGGTGACCGGTGGCTGCAGCGTCGTGGGCTGGCGTGGCCCCGTTGTGGGCTCGCTGGTTGCCGGGAAGCTGGGCCCGCTGGACCAGGAGCTTCACGCAGTCCAGGTGGCCGGCGCGGGCGGCCAGGTGCACTGGGCCGGCCCCCAGTGCATCTGCGAGGCCCGGCTGCAGGGCCCTGTCCTCCAGCAGCCGCTCCAAGGTGGCCAGGTCCCCCTGCTTGGCGGCTGTGAGAGCCCGCTGGTCCTCCATGCTGGGCTGGGCACCCTGGCACCCCAGCACCCGCACCCGCACACAGGCTGGGGGTCCAGTTTCAGGCGTAGACTCACCCCAGCTCAGGTTCCCGATAACAGCTTGCTGCGCAGCTGGGAGGCGGCACCATGGGGGAGGAGGGGAGAGGGCTGCAGGCGGGCTGAGCCTGCCAGCCCTCTGTGCACCTACCCCCAGCCTGATGGGTGTCCAGCACCAGGTGTGCTTGCTCCTTACTGACCAGTGTCTGTGGTCCCTGACTGTGGGCCAGGGCCGGGGGTGGGCAGACCATTCCCAGTGGGTGTTGTTCTGGGGTCTCAGGGCCAGGGGACTAGTACTCAGACCACATTGTTGCCACAGAGATTTGGGGGCTCACTGTCTCCCAGGGCATTGGGCTGTGGGAAAAATCCGGCCCGCACCTTCCCTCACTGTTGCTGGTGGCCTGTGCAGACCCTCTGAGCCCCAGGGGATATGGAGAGTGGTCCAGGGGCCCCTTGATGACCCTCCCTGTGGGCAGGTGCCACCTGCCTCTGGAGGGCAGGCCAGTGAGTGGGGTTGCCCAGCTGGGCTGCAGCTCAAGCCCTCGATTTGTGTTCTAGCCCCCAGCCACCAAGCCCCTTGTAGACCCCACAGATCTCCTAGGGTCCCCAGGGGGCTGTGGCCGGGGTGCAGGCCAACTGTGACCGGGTATGTTCTGACACAGCCTCGCCCCACCAACAGCCGTCTGTCCTGCATATGATCGCTCCCTGCTCGGCAGGCCACACCCCACCCCAGAGAACACAGGAGTCGATCCAACACATGTTTATCAATAGTCTGATTCCTCTGTCTCCACAAAGCTCCGTACATTTGACAGTCTCACCACGAGTCCGTGTGACCGTGCCCACACACACGTAGACACGCGCTGCACACCTGCCAGTCACACTCAGTCCCAAGGAGACAGTGAGGTGCCGGGCCACCCAGGTGGACGCTGCTGGGCCAAGGGGCAGAGGGGAGGCCCCAGGAAGCCACACAGGGAGTGAACGTCATGCCCCCCTGACCCAACTGAGGGTGGTAAGCCCTGGGCCTGACCACTGAGGAAGGAGTTGGTGTGTCTGTATCCACCTGTGCACTTGGCAGAGATCATGACCATCCCGCCTGCTGAGTGTCCCTGGGACTGTGAGTGACTGTCCTCTGTGGACACGTGTTCCCGGGCCTGTGAGTGACCATCCTATGTGGACACATGTTCCCAGGCCCATGAGTGACCATCCTATGTGGATACACATACCTGGGCCATGAGTGACCATCCTACGTGGACACGTGTTCTCAGACCCATGAGTGACCTTCCTATGTGTTCCTGGGCCATGAGTGGCCTTCCTATGTGGACATGTGTTCCTGGGCCATGAGTGAATTTCCTATGTAGACACATGTTCTCAGACCCATAAGTGACCTTGCTATGTGTTCCTGGGCCCATGAGTGGCCTCCCTGTGTGGACACGTGTTCCTG